CCGGTTTCCCAGCTGAGGACGTACTATTGATTTCTATAGTGTCATGATATTATGTTCAGTGTTACTCTCTCTCCCCCTTTCACAATACAACCTACTATCTTGTTGCTCTTCTGAGCTCCCTTGCAATCAGCCAGATGTTTCATTGACTCCTAGATCTTTTCCTGGAGTAGTTGTGGTTAATTGGGACCCTTCAGCGTGTATGAGCCATCCTGTTCCCTCCTTCCAGTTAAGCATCCTTCAGCGCACCGGTTTTTGTCTGCTATCCTCTCACCCATTTGGCCAGTTTAGGGCGGTCTCGCAGAAGTCCTACGTGGTCTCCTCACGTCTGGACCAGCCGAGTTGAAAGTGGTCACCTAGAAATGCTATTAGCTCCCTGCTTTCCACATCATGGTCTTATTATCTAAGAAAAATCAGCTTTTGCGGACAGAGGTACCCCCATCACTACCCTCGTTCCCCATTAAAACCTCACGATACACTCCCACTCCTTGTTTCCTCCTCCACAGCCAGGTTTTTAAGCACGAAATAACTTGTTTTTCCAATGGTAAATCCCGGTCATCTCTGCCACAGACACTCACCAAAGATTTTTCTTAAAGGTTTCGTGAAAGAACTAACTGATGACAGTAATTTCCCACCCCCCTGATGCTGCGTGAACTGGCAGACTAAAGATGCACCATTTTCTTGCACTGACACCATTCCTGTTTGCAACTCTCACTTCTCACTCACTGCCCCACTGCGTCCTCCTCTATGGGGTGATCCTTTTTGAGCAAGGCATGAGGATACAGAGGGTAAATCAGCTGTTATCCCCCTGATTATTGCTGACCATGTCCCAGGCATGGGGTGATGTCCTCCTCCTCTCCTGGTCAGTGAGGTTTTCTCAGCTCCGGTGCCTCATGGCCTCTGCTCTGCTCCGTGCAGGTGACTGCTGATACTCTGCATTGCGGTGGGTGACGGACAAACACTTGCACCCAGAGAAGTGTCTGGGCATGAAAGCATGTTTTGTGGACCAAAAAGTTCCTAACGGAAAGGCAGTGAGGTTGCCAAAGGGGTGCTTTCACCAATCACCCCCCCATTGCGACTCCAGCGCGGTCCTTCCTCAAATTGGGGTTACAACCCAAAGGAAGTGGAACTGTACTGGAAAAATCAGCATTAACCACCAGCAGCCCAGCTAATCCATGGCTGGGGAAGGAGAAGAGCCTGTAATTGCTGGCTGCAAGTGTTTGCACTGGCCGAGGAACTGCAAATTGCCTTTAATTGCTCCTAATTGCTGGCACTGGTTCAGTTCCGCTGGGACAGGGACAGCAAATGTACATCTGCAGACACTGCTTAGACCACCTCCTGCCTCCCGTGCCAGGACGGTTGAGTTGATGAGGATGTGGAGAGTTTTCTGGAAGATAGAAAAGTCAAAACGGTGTCAGGCATTCGAGGAGCTGGAGTGCCGCTGCCCAAGGTGGTCATCCCGGACTCGCAGGGTGCTGCGCCGCAGGGAAGAGCTGGGGAGCAGTGGCAGAAAGCACATCCCTACACCCGCAGAGGATTTACCCCACAGCATGTTGGAGGGAGCGATCAGCAATCACCGAGGGGGTTCTCCTGATGAGGTCCCAGGCCAAGGGCCGGTGATTCCCAGCTCCTCTGCCACTTGTCTACTCTGTGACCTTGGGCATGTCACGCGTGCCCAGGGGGACACAGCTCATGCCCATGCTGCAGAGCCCTCCCAGGAGCCCGGCTTGGGAAGAGAGTAGGCAACCTCAGAGAGATACAGCTGCAAAAATAACCCCGGCAGCTTTGGAGAACCTGCGCTGAGGCATGACCTCACGAGGGAAGGCAGCAGCAGCATCGCCATTTATTTATGCGGCGTCCGAAGAGTGCTCTGTGCTCTGCAGCCTGTCCTCCAAGAGCCTGACTCTCCAAATCTCACTCATCACGAAGGCTTTTCTCCTTTTTTTTTTTCTCTCCTTTTTTTTTTCCCTCTTCTGTTTTTTTTTCCCCCTTCTCCCGGCCGAGTGGTCCCACTGAAATCAGTGCGATCTGTTCACATGGTGGGGGGTTACTCACAGGATGGGGGTTTGCAGGTCAGGCCTGGAACCAACACACGCAGCCCCAGAGGGGACCCCTGAAACACGAGGCATGTTCCTCCCCATCCTCCTGCCCTTTGCCTCTTCTTGTGTAACCCTTCCCTGATTTGCTTATTTTGGGATTAACTCCTGCCTCTCTGCTCTTCTTTAACCCTGTTCCTTCTTCAGGCTCTTGCTTAATGTGTTTTTATTTCCACTCTCCCAGCAATGTTGAAGCCATCTCTTGGGGCTGCAGCATGTGGGTTTTCCCACCTAAACGTCACTTTGCTCTCTGCACTCATCACCAGTCATGTCGATTTGATGTTAACATTTTTCCAATCAAAACTGGGTTTGATAGAAAAGCAAGTTTTCCAATATGGGCAGGTTTGCAAGCAGCTGGTCCCCAGAGACAGCTCAAGGCAGGAGGGGAGAGCAGGACTCTTCATCAAAAATCCCAAATCATGGAATCATCGAATGGTTTGGGTTGGAAGGGACCTCAAAGATCATCTAGTTCCAAACCCCCTGCCATGGGCAGGGACACCTTCCACTACACCAGGTTGCCCAAAGTCTCATCCAACCTGGCCTTGAACACTTCCAGGGATGGGGCAGTCACAGCTTCTCTGGGCAACCTGTGCCAGTGCCTCACCACCCTCAGAGGGAAGAATTTCTTCCTTAGATCTCATCGAAATCTCCCCTCTTTCAGTTTAAAGCTATTGCCCCTTGTCCTGTCACTACACGCCCTTGTCCAAAGCCCCTCTCCAGCTTTCTTGTAGCCCCTTGAGGTACTGGAAGGTAGCTGGAAGGTCTCCCCGGAGCCTTCTCTTCTCCAGGCTGAACAGTCCCAACTCTCTCAGCCTGTCTCCATAGCAGAGGTGCTCCAGCCCTTGGAACATCTTAGTGGCCTCCTCTGGACCCGCTCCAACAGCTCCATGTCCTTCTGATGTTGGGGACCCCAGAGTGGAACGCAGCACTGCAGGGGGGGTCTCAGGAGAGCAGAGTTACAGGGCAGAATCCCCTCCCTCGACCTGCTGGCCACACCGCTTTGGATGCAGCCCAAGATATAGTTGGCTTCAGAAGTGTTAGGGAAGGAGAAAAGAAGCAAAAGCTTTGTTGTTGTGGTTGGGTTTTTTTCCCTCCCATGTGAGAAATCATCAGGTTTTGGCAAGGCTCAGCCTCTTCCCATCCAGCGCTCATGGAGCCAGGGGACAGCAGCAGTTTGTGCTCTGGGGTGGGCTGGTGGGGTGGGATGCCCTGTGCAGGGACAAGGGGACATTGCAGTGCAGTGGGTCTCCGGGCACCATGCAAAGCCTGCGAGGATGGGGGACCAGCCTGGGAGCTGCTGTTACTGGGAGCCCAGGAACCCCAAAGGTCAAACTGGGGGCTGCCGGTGCAGGGAGCAGGAGCAGGATGGTGCCAGTGTGGGCTGGAGGGAAGCTCCTACCAAACACCAAAGTGTGGACACCCAACGCGTATGAACACGGGGTGTGATCCACCATCCCCAAATAAGGCAGATTTAGGGTGTCTCAGAGCCAGGAGGGTGCAAGACAAACCTAGAAGGGTCCAGCACAAACCCTCGTGGGAGTGACGTACTCAATTTGGAGGATTTGGGGCTATTTGAAAGCCAAGCACAGCCGCTGGAGCCTGTGGAGACACTCACACCAGTCCTGACCCACAGACCAGCCCTCTCCAGGTTTTGGGCAGCAGGGCAGGTTTTCCCCCAGAACATATTTCTGGGAGGCAGCATCTCCGAGGGGAGCAGAATGGGTGCTCCCCAGAGAGGGGTTGTGCTGCCTCCTTCCCGAGGACGCTGCAGAAGAAAAGGAAAGCTTTCCTGCCCTTCCCTGCCACCGCGCAGCAGGGGCAGACCGCAGTCTGGCACGGCGCTCGCAGCTCTTAGAAATCAGGGCTGTTAACAAATGTGCGAGGCCATAATCCTTTCGGAACAGGGATGATAACAAGCCCCGATGCTGGCTGGGGTTTGGTTTTTGCTTTTTTTTTTTTTTTTTTTTTTTTTTTTGTAACAAACAGCTGCGCCGGTAAGTCCCACTGTGGGAAATGAGATGGTGAATGATTTCAAGTGTAGTATTTACATCCCCTGCCAAACCCTTCACATCTGCCCA